ACCCTCTTCCATCGCCAATGCCATCTACACTTCCGTGAGGTCGGATACCCTGCCACTCTGTCAGATTGATCCACCCAATCTGCTGTACATCTCCAAACCCGCCAATCCAGTAAGCATGGGTGACCACCAACCGGGCCCAGAAACTCGCGTGAGGTGAGTAAGAAGCACCAGGCAGCCAGACCTTTGCATCAGGATGAGGCTCGAGGAAACACTTCTCGAGGGCCGCAGCTGCGTCACCGGGAAGCGGGGACGGGAGGTTATCCAAGTATCCAAAGAGGGTGACTCGAGGTAGAGCAGCAGGGCTGAGAGGAAGACCAGGGTACACTGGGCCGGCCTCATTAAGATGATCCCACCAGTCTAACTGGAGACTGAGATTAGACCCTGCTGCAATGTTCTTAAAAGTGGTTCCAATGCGAAGGCCAAGAATTGTTGGATCGCCGTTATCATCGTGAGATAGATCCGATGGCAGGGATCCATCACAATCGGCAATGTACTCGCGGAGTGCGATAGAGAGACCGGCAACATCTGATGGGGCGTGTGCGGAGGGTGGGAGGGACTCAGGGAAGTTGGTGGAGATGACGCCAGAGGGTGACAACGCGAGCAGGCGACGAGCCATCAAAGTCGAGGTAAACCATGACGGGCGGTTGAAGGCACATTCTTCTTCAATATGGTTAGATTTTGAAACCTGGTCCAAACTGTTTGGTGCACCGAGGAAGGTCTGGAGATTGTCTGGAGGTGGGACAACAAAGCCATGAGCCGCGAGGGGTAAAAGCAGTGCGACAGCGCCAGTGAGGATGGAGGCCGAGCGAGAGACCATGATGACAGCTTATCAGATGGACGAGTTGGCATCGAAATAATTTTCAGAAGCTTAGAGGAGCAAAGAAGAAAAAAGCAGAAAGACAATGGAAGTGCGGAGAACATCAGCTGATAATCTTATCTGATCAAGTCACGTCACCACCTACGGCAGTCTCCGCCAGTGGCACCACCTCTGATTCCCCTTCAGTCTCCAGGTCCAAGTATAGCTGGCTGTTCTTGACCAATTTGACATCGGTCCTGGATAATGTTACACATTAGAAAATAAAATGGGAAGAGCAAGACTTAAATATTCAGGAATCCAAATGTATGCTGGAGTGTGAGAATGAAGGTGTATCCGTCCGATGACTTGGCAGAGGGAGTTAAAATCCAAAGCTGATCCTATCAGAATCAGACGGCTGCATTTTGCATGCATGTTCGACCCGGTTGCTCCGCATTCGTACGTTATCCATCTTGTATCTAGATCGAGTTAATTAGATCATATCGTCGTTAAGGATAAAGGCCGTCTACTCCTCCGGAAAGATCGGGATTGCATGTATTTCCATAGATGGCAGGCATCTCCTTTTGGAGGTAGATTAAGGGAAGGATTGATGACATGGCGAAGTGGTAGAGGACCCGAATGTGGGTAATAATGTAACGCTGGACTATGTCAAGATGATATTCATCATTGATATTCGATACTATCTGTTTAACTACGTGACAGGCATATGACATATCGTCATGTGGATGCTCACAAGTACATCAGGATTGGCACTGCGGCGCTTACTTGCGCTTTGGCTTGGGTCGGATGAAAGGGTCTGTCTCCTTTTTTTTGCGTACCATCGGGGGTCGGCGTTTGAGAGCACCTTGGTTGGGAGCCTATATTGATAAGAAATCGGTATGAGTAATTAATACGAAAGCCAGCCAAGAACATGACGCTTACATCTGCTTCTGGTCTCATCGGCGGAGCCCTCGCCGGGTCATTTTCGGTCGGATACGCCTGGCCGTCGCGAGAAGGTTTGATGAGACCCTAAGAAATTGTTAGTATACATAAGCCAGTTATTCGATCCAGTGGGCGAAAAGAACTCACTCCTGGTGGGCCGTCGGTTGGCGGGCCCTTGTAACCATTGCGAACATTGGCCACCGGATTGTCGCGAGGGGGACCAGAAAGACCTGGGTGACCACTGACACTTGAAACATTCGGACCACGAGCAGCCGGGCCCGATAGACCGGGATGATTACTACCCAATGGGCCCCTTGGAGCCTTGACTGGGGGACGAGGCTGCCCGGTACGAGGACGCTGCGCTTGTTGTCCATCAGAAGCAGATTCTTCACGTTTTCTCTTCGCGGAATTATCAACAGCGTTCACTGGCGGTGTTGAATTTGTGGCTTGAACAACGGGGATTTTAGGATTGTGCCCTCCCAGCTGACGTTCTCGCTGACGCTCATTGAATGAATCTTGGCGTCGCTTGAGATTGAACTCGTCTCTCTCGAGGCGAGATTTCTCGAACTTTGAAAGAACTTTCGTGGACTTGCAGTTGGGGGATGAATGCCCACATTCGCCGCATTCAAGGCATCGCTCAGCGCGGCAGGCAACCTTGGTGTGACCAGACTGACCGCAGCGGAAACAGGTTCCTCGAGCATTTGCCTTTGCCTCGTCATTGTCGCAGTTGTAAGTGAAATGGTCGGCGCTTCCACATATCCCACACATTTTCGTCGGGTCTAAGCCTTTGCCTCCCCCAGAAGGTCCATCAGGTCGTGCGACCGGGGGTGTACCGCGCCCAGAGGCGGAGACCGAGACGGAGCGCGAGTCAAGACCAATAGAGGCTGATGAAGGTCGGGTGATTTGCGGTGCAGGGGGTTCATAGTCGGGAGAGCCTGGCGTTTCTTGGGCGTCAAGGTCAACCATTTCAATCTCTCTGTAGCCAGTGAACTGCGGCTTCTCCAGGATTTTCATAATATCGCCCTCTGTGTAGACATTTCGTTCCCGCGCGTTCCTGATGAGCCCATTCCAGAACTGACCCTGTTCCAGGGACTGCGAGTTGCCCAGAACCCAAAGCGATGACTTAGCACGGGTGAGACCGACGTTCATACGGCGGATATCAGCCAAGAAACCAATACCCTTGTTGGATGCTCGCACACAGGAGAAGATAATGACCTCGCTTTCTCTACCTTGGAAAGCATCAGTCGTATTGAAATCAACCTTCGTCAGAATGTCCTCGCCGTATCGTTGGGTGAACTGGTTCTTGAGCTCTCTCAGTTGGCCCTTGTAGGGTGTGATGATGCCAATCTTGCCCGCGAAGTCGTACTCTTTGACATCTGTGATCAGACGGTCATACAGTTGCATGGCTACTTGTAACTCTGCGTAATTGACCAAGGAATGACCCCTGACTGCAGATGAGTGCATGCCCTGAACATCGAAGAATCGGTAAGGACCGAGAAGCTCGCTTTGATGCCAGGGACGCTGGCGAAGCTTATCCATGTCCGGTCCATCGTGCAACTTGCCATCGTAGAACGTCACACTGGGGAAATGACTGATGGCTGGATGCATACGGTACTGGATATCCAGCAAGTGCACGTCTTGAGGGTGGTTTTTCTGCATGCGGACGAACAAGCTCTGTTCATACTGGAACCTGGAGGCCATTTTTGACAGAACAGTTGGAGGCAACTGTTTCGGGTCACCAACAAGAACACACTTCGAGCAGCCGTACTTCAGCGGGATAAGAGCACTGAGTTCAATACACTGTGCCGCCTCATCGATGATGACGGTCTCAAACTCGACATTCATGCCCTGGAAAATTTCATGTCCAGAGCCACTGAGAGTAGTGCAAATGACATGAGATTCGTTGATGATTTGTTCTTGGATCCGCTGTTTATGCATATCAGCATTGCGGGCCAGCGTATGGTTCTGATCACGGGCCTTATCAATGGACGTGCTCAGTTGAGACCGCTTCTTTTTCATCAAGTCAAACTCGCGCTCCAGCTCTTCCGGGGGAGGCAGTCCCTTCGCTCGTGCTTCGTCGAGCCGCGCACGAAGCTCTTTGAATGATGTATCAGTCATCTTATGCTCTTCATAGAGCTTCTGCAAGTCGACACCATTTCCTTTGCTGGGATCCTGGTTCAGACGGGCATTGACCATCTCGTCGAGGGTAACGTCTAACACATTGGTGTTGATTGCGTCGCTTCTTCCTAGACGAAGGACAGAGACCTTTTCTTGGCGACCATGAGTCGTCCTCACACCATCCTTCAATCGCATGACTAATTCGTCGACAGCGGCATTGCTAGGCGCACACAGGAGAAGTTTCTTTGAGAGGGCATTTCTCGCAACAGGGGCACCATTAACTTTGATCACCTGTTTTCCAAGCACGTCGCTTAGGAGACTTCCGACAAGTGCGATGATGGTCTTGGTCTTTCCCGAACCAGGAGGACCTTGGATGAGAGTAAACGCGTCGTTGTCAACAGCTGACTTGATGGCTCTTGCCTGAGCACGATTGATGGAGTAATTGTCCATGATGGTCTGCAGCCTTGCGTCCGAATAAGTGAGAAGAGGTGAAGGCTTAGCCAAGACAATCTCTTCACATAGATCATAGTACTGCACCGCCATCAGGGCACCATATTCACGCTCCACCGGGGTCAAAGAAGTGATCTTGGCGCCCCAGGCCTCAGTTCCCGGCCCAAAAGAAGACAGGAACTTGTTACTCCCAGGATTGATCCGATATGTGACCTCCATCTTTTTGTTCTTCCGATTGACACCACAGACACGCGCGAGAACATGGGGCGCACTCGGGTCGCTTGTGAGATTGGGCGAGTTGGAGAACAAGACCAGATCACCTTCACCGATGCTAACATCCTTGGGAGGAAGACCAAGCGGCTGAGTGCTGAATTCGATCCACGAGTCGACAGCCAATCGGGTCATGACTTTGACTTCGAAGGGTCGGAAAGAACCTTCGTCCTTCGCCTGTTGGAAACCTTGCCACGCCTCGAGAATCAACAAAGGTTCGAATGTACTCTGATAGTCATCGGGTGTGCGGAACGTGTTTGAAACCAGGGAATAATCAGTGCGGTCCGAGGTAGGAGGAAGATCGCCGGTTGCGAAGAAGTCCCAGGAGAGGATTGAGTGGTGAAGAGAACCAAGATCTGGAGACAGGCGAGCCCGCATGTCCCTGACAGACCGATGGCGCTTGACCTTTTTGACGGGTTGCTGTTGAAGGGATTGTTTTTTGCTCAATTCGTAAGCCGCGACAGCGTCGGGTTTCTTCGGTTTGGCACCAAAGAGTTCCTTGTCTAATTCATCTTCGCTCTCAGAATCAGACTCATCACCAGAGGAAACCATCATGCTGTCTGCGGGGGTTGTATGATCTTTACCCTTGATACCAATACCTTTCAGGCCGGAGCCCTGTTCAGCTGTTTGCTCCCCAACGCCATATGCGGGCATGTTCTTCTTGAGTCTGGCGAGCTCAATCTGATCACGCTTCTTCTTGGCCTCCCTTTCCCGTTCGCGCTTCTCACGGAAAGATAGGACGTGGGTGGTGTCATCGTTGGATCGCACAGGGGGAACTGGCTTGGGGAACATGCCCGGAGTGAAAATCTCCGGACGATGCTTGACAGCTGTTGAGGATCGCATTTTGGCGACCTTTTCAGCTTCCCGTTTGGCTTTGGTTGCGAGGCGAGCTTTGTTGAATTCGACAGAAGAAGACAATTCAAGAAGAGTTTGGTCGGTCAAATTCTCATCATCAAAATCATCGTCACTGGTGATGCGAGAGGAGGGGCTCGAGATATCAGAGGGTTTGGCAAAAGCGGTGATCGAAGATTGTTTCTTGAGAGCAGCAGTTGAGGCAGTGACGACGGGTTTCTTATAGTAAGCCTCCAACGAGCGGACTAATTCTGCCTTCTCGCGTTGATTGAGTATTGTTTTGATTGTGCCATTGACAGCAACACCCTCAATAAAGCTCAATGCATCTGGCTTCACAGTGGTCACATTCATCCCACCCAACCTGCGTAAAAGCTTTGCCACCAACCCTACGAGCGTCGTTGCCAGGAACTCATCCTTCAGCCTAAGCCATTTTACCATGGCACTCATTGTGGCAGTTGGTGACTTGAGGAAAATTTCTGATGCAGAGGTCTGCCCCGGATCCGCATTCCCTACAGCTCCCAAGAACACACCATACTGATCAAAGAGGAGGTCGGCGAACTGGATCGTGTCACGACAAAATTCGAGCATGACAGCCTTATCATTACCCCGAAGGTGCCATGCCTCGGTCTCATCAAAGATCGTGGTCAACGCCAGCCACAAATACTCCCAAAGCCTCTGCAGCAACATGACCTCCCGGCGATCAGCGAGATTACGAGTTCGCAGCATACCGGTTTGACTGTCACATAATATCTCTACGATGTCTGTACCAGTGTATAGCATTCTTGGGGCGGGCGCAAACGTCTTCATGTGAGAGATCCGACGGAATGACCAGCTCAGACCGTAGACCGTGGTTGTGAATGAAGATTGGAGGAGGTGAGAAATGGCATCTCGTCGAGCTGACTGGCCGCTGACAGCCTTGATCAGGTCAACCGCAGCTGTGTAGGTGTCATAGTCGGCGGCAAACAGAGCCGAAATCACAGCGCTACTAGTATCCTGACTTCGGAACAACTTTTCAAGGTGCTCGGGTGGAAAGTCCGCCAGACGTCCGATGATTCGGCATGAAAGGTTGGTGAGATGGCCATAAATCATGTTGAAGTGGGTCTTCTCCTTGTTCCCTTCTCCTTTCGTGGGAAACATCTCCAACCCCACTAGCGGCAAGATCCCTAGGAGAGCCGAACTTGACAGCGGCAGATTATCCCGATGGAGGTTCTTGATGACAGCATCCCAGATGGGCGCAGAGTAGGTAGATACTCCGTGTGAGAGGGTGCCGTGGTTCAGAAGTGCCTCATAATCAGTCTTCAATGACTGACACTCCAATGCCAAGGTGTTGCGTACAACTTCCATGCAGAAGGTGAGAATATCCTCCTGCCGACTTCGCTCAACATCAAAAGTCGGGGGCTTAATGATTGTGCTAATTTTGTCACCGACTACTCCCATTGTCTCTGCCAACACGATCCGAGTAACTGTACCCCGGGAAGACTCATTTTCTGTGAAGCGGCGTAGTGTTTGAAGGAGGCTGGCCAAGCCAATATCAAAGCAGTGATACCGTGACAAATTTGGATATTGGGTGTCTTGAAGGCGGCCAAGTAATTGCAATGTCAAGAACCGACAGGCAGATGGCTGGTGGGCACCCTTCAGTGAGCCGAGGAAAGGATTGATCCAGGAGAGCATGTCTTTCAATGCGGATTTTTCGAAGGGCTCACCCTCGGAGGTTTCCAGGAGAAATGCGTTAAATTGTGTGTTGTAAAATGTATGTTCCATGATTGCTTGAGGAGAAATGGTTTGCATAGCATCCCAGAAGTCAACCGGGGCTTTCTCAAGGAATAGCTGGATGGTATTGAGAAGGAACCGCAAGCTCGGCGCAGGTATGGCGAGATGATCAACAGAAAGACGACAAGGATCTATCTCTAATCCTCGAAGCTGATGTGTGATCTGCTCCTTGTCCAGCTTTCGGACAACAAGCTGCATCCCTCGCCACAATCTCTGAATCACTGCAAATTGCGGTGGCTGCTGTGACGCAGCTCGGAGCCCCATCAACAGGCCATCGCGTACCGCCCATTCAAATTCTTGAGTAGTGGGAGGCCGTGCGTATCGCGTCCATGACTGAACAGCCCAGAAACTTCGGAATTGATTAGAATCGAACAGAAAGCGAGAGACTGCAGGAATATAATCTGAGACTTTCAAGCTTCGCTTTGTTTGAATGAGCTTGAATGGCTCATCAAAATATTCCTGCAGGAGGCTTTCGTTGCGCAGCATGGCTTCACAGCTCAGTGTCTCGAATATTGATAGCAACGCAGCCCTGTCCAAGACATCCAAGCCAATTTTCTCTAATGGGATTTGCTTCAACTGCGTTGTGGCTGTGGTTAAGTTGCGAGTGATTCTCCGAATGTCCCACTCGTCGATTCTCTGGGCAAATGCCTCAATATCATCTTCGTGATAGTTTTCCTCCTTCAGCAAGTCCATGAGCCAGATCTTGCCGATGTAATAATGCTTGATGCATAGGTCACATTTCTCCAGCGACTCATCTAGTTTTCTCAGGACCCAGTTCTGATCGTCCTCTACGCCATCCTTATGGTATGCTAGGATGCGCATGGACGAGAGAAAACTCTCCCTTCGAGCCGTTGCTTCAGCCACAATATCCTTGATGGCTTTTCCCGCTTCATCAACTTGCTCTAAATCGTCATAGCGACCATGATCATCGTCGTCTTTCCGGGGACAGAAGAGGTGGGTGGCCTCCGGGAGGGCCTTGAGTTCTCTGTACAACACGGAATCTGGTTAATTCTAGCTCATATGCCTCCAAGGATTTTCTGCGGCCTACCTAATCGCTGCCAGAAACTCCATGACGACTGTAGTCTCGTATTGTGGGGATAGTCGAATTGAAATGATAGCGGTGCATTTCCTTCATCCCATAGGTAGAGCAGCTAGAACATTGTTTTGCCGAGAAGTGACACTGATATCAAGGTGATTCCGCAGGCTTTGACTCAGCTGCCGATGAAAGGATCGAATGAAGTGACAGCAGGCTCAAGCGAAGGACAAAGTAAGTAATGTTGATAACAGCGAGGAGTGGCCTCGCAACCAAGTGCCGTATTTGACCACGATATGCTGATACTTCGGCGATGGAAGAGGCGGCGGAAGAGGCAACAAGATTTGAACACCTTCTGCCTCAAAGAATGAGACTTTCCTTCTGTTTAGCCAAAGCAAACGAGGAGGAGATGGCAAACAAAAATCCCCAGAGCAAACCCGAGATGCCGAAGTGTCATTGGCAGATTATGTGGGCGGTGAAGCTGCTCCCAACGCGTAGACGCGCTCTATTTTACCCAACTGGGACACTACGTGGAAGTCGCGATATCTATATAATATAAGACTGCAATGTAGGGCGGATCTCCTTGGGCAAATACACTTAGAAACCTCAGAACTGCGCAGTAGGTAGGCACATTAAGTAATTTCCTCGCTGAAGGCATTGAATAGAATACATGAATGCGACGGACCCCTGTGCCGGCTTGTCCTTTTTGATAGAGGAAACAAACAAAACACATGAACAAGAAAACAAAGGCAAAAAGATCATCCAACAAGATATAACATCCAGATGGAACCAGACAAGAGGAAACCTTCAAACGCAGGTGTCATGCACTTTGCAGGGACAGAGACGCTTTTGTACAAGGGAAATATAACATAGGCCAGACAGGCTTAGTGTAGAGCATGCATCAGAGCAATAAAGGAAAACTTGAAGGCAGTGGACAACAAGGAAAGGGTAAGAGTGAAGGGTGTAGAAACGAAGATCGCGCTAAGCATCCGACCGAGCAAAGTAGTAAACCAGAACGCCTGCTTTCTATCCGGGAATATAAAAGAATAAAAACACCACAGCATATTGCTCGTGAAAATAGGAATGGCGAGGAGAAATCACAAGGAACAAACCAGAAGGTCTGATGGGGGTAAAGTCATCAGTGGCGGGCCATCAAGCTCCATGCAACGCAAGATGCGACTCCTTTATATCACATTATTATGTACAGGAGGATCGTCAGGAGTCCGGAACGGGTCTTCATGTTGATGATGTGGGATCTGCGACGATTCCACTCGGGAAAGCATGGCAGCAGAGGTGAAGTCGTTGCTTTGCTCGAAGCTCGGTCGGCTCCGGTCAAACGAATGCCGTGTCCGGTCGTGAGATCGTCGAACATAGTCCACGGACTGTGGTCGCGGATAATGGTCAAGACTGGCGGTGTAGTTGGTGCCGTTACTGCCATTTTGACTGCGGGGGTTGTGGGTGTTTGCAGTTGGGGCCATGGATGGAGCGTAGAAGGGCCGCTCCTCATCAAGAATGCCAGTGTCATGCTTCATGGCGGGCTGCACTGGCTTCACTATTTCCGAAGAGGTGGCTGATCCATCACTGGAAGCTGCGGCCTTTGGGTCGCCTTCTTTTGGGGGCAGCGGGGGATCTTCTATGGCATCCAGATACTTGAATTTGCCCAGGGTCACTTGCTCGCGGATGATATCGACGTCAAGCGGGAAAAACACCTTCTGGATGGCGTTGTATGTGAAACGCGGAAGCAAGCAAATCAGTACAGTCATCAGAAGAACGATCCAGTAACTCAATGATCCATAAACTTCAGCAGCGGAATGGAAGAATTGACCGGAGGAAGTGAAAGAGGTGTAAATGCCGGTCCAGAAGAAGATGAGAAGACTACTGATGGCGTTGATCAGAGAAGTGAACCAATCCCATCGGTAAGTATTCATCATGACGTAGAGATTGCTAGCAATCACGGCACAGGACGCGACAAGCACTCCGATACGGGCTCGGTCGTTGATATTCCGACCAGTTTCATTGACGAAGTTCGCTGGCGCGAACAGGAGATAAGGCATGAAGAAACAGATAATTGACTGGTACATGCCATCGGCCATGTACATCCTATCCAAGTTAGTATGTCTCGATCAACAGTTGGGGAAAGGATGCTAAGTACCAGAATTTAAGTTCCGACCATTCCTTACGCTCGATACCTCTCATGTACAATTGAGGCACGGCAAGAGACACCTTGTCGTCCACGTCCTGATCGAAGATACCCATGAAGATCACGGGCAATGAAGTGAAGGCGAGATTGACCAACACAATGTAGGTATAGTCGAAGAGATAAGAGCAGTCGAAGTCGTTGTAGATACAGTACCAGAAGAGAGCGAACGTCCACACAAGATTCTGGGAGGAGTCAGTGATAATACAAAATGATATTCAGTACCAAGGCCACATACCTTGTAAAAGAAATTGGCCGTGCATTCTCCAAGGCGACGGTAAGACCATCTCCCATGCACTAAAAGAAGGCGCTGAAGGTACCGGAACTGGCCAATTGCATAATCAGAAGACATGACGGCTTGCCTCCCTTCTTCGCCAGCAATACCCACACCGACGTCGGCCTCTTGAATCATAGCCACGTCGTTGGCACCATCACCGACGGAAAGAGCCATGATGTTCAGCCCGTTCTTGACCATGCTTACGACAGCGGCTTTCTGTGCGGGACTGACACGGCAGCAAAGAACGGCCTTGCACTGCTTGCAGAGTAGAAGGAACTTTTGCTTCAACTCATCAGATAACATCAGCTTGAGTGTTTCACCGTCGACGACCACGGCATGCGTAGGGTCAGGCGGTGTATGATCAGCACGGGCAGCAAGAAGTTCCTCATCAGAGCCGGTCAATCCGAAAGTTTGCAAATGCTTGTCGAGTTCGTCAGAGGCCTTTTGGTGTTCAGTCTCGGGAATGTTCAGCACAATCAGCTCCATGTTGTTATTGAGCAGGTTGCAAGAAAACCCAATGTTGATGGCGGTCTCAACCTTGTCACCGGTAAGGACCCAGAGTTTGATACCAGCATCAGCAAGAAGCTGGATTGTATCGGGCACGCCATCCTGAAGTCTGTCCTCAATGGCAGTTCCGCCAATAAGCATGAGCTCCTGTTCAATTTCACTAGAAACTTTCTCTAGTTTCTCCTCACGGTCCGTGATCGCAGCGGCAGCGATATCGTGTTCCTTGGCCCATGCGTAGTATTGTTCCTCACTAAGCAGGCGGTCAGCAACACACAAAGTCCGAAGTCCTTCCCTAGCGAACTCCTCCAGGTGCTCTGCGGTCTGCCGACGAAGCTCCTGTTGTTTGCCACGAGCTAGACGGGAGTAAATGATACTGTCCGCGCCCTTGCAGAACAGTCGAATAGTCCCATCAGGCATTCGGATGATTGCACTCATTCGTTTTCTAGATGAGTTGAATTCAAGGGTGTTCAAAACTGTATATGTGCGTTCCTCGCCCATGACATTGAGGAGAAGATCGTCACCGGCTCGGCCCAGAACAGTGAATCCACAATCTCGAGCAGTGCTGACCAACGCTGCCTCGTCGGGGGACTGGGCCTTGAACTCAATCTGAGGAGGATCACCGGGAGTATGCTCAGTAATAACAGTATGACACAAGGCAAGAGCCAGCATGAAGTCCTCTGTACAGTGCTTCTGCCGGTCTCCCGATTGTCCTCCCAAGTCGGCCACAAATTTCGGGGCAATAAAGGTCAGCTGGTCGTCGTGCAGGTAAGGGTTGTCATGGATGCCACGCAACAGACCCAGCATTTGCTGCGCATCAGCAGCAATTTGTTGCCGAGCCACTGCGGCCTCTGCGTCAGCATCAGCTCCCTCGCGACGCCGCATGCCGATCTGAGCTTCTGTGTAAGCCTCTCCATATGCCAGGCCGTTGACCGTACACTTCTTGAACTCCATCACGTTTTGAGTCAAGGTACCGGTTTTGTCAGAAAAAATGTACTCAACTTGACCGACGTCGTCTGAAATGTTCCAAGACTTGGGCACACAATAGATCCCCAGTTTCTCGTAGTACATGAACAGATCGCTGTGAATAAAAACCGCTTGGATGGTCCGAACAATTTCAAGAGAAATGTAAAGCGAAATGGGAACCAAGTTCTGGAACAGGATGACAGCGGTCCAGAAAGTGACAATACCGGTGACGGGTGGTGTATCTCCATAGGACTCAAGATCGAAGTATTCTAGGGATTTGTTTGGCGCGGCCCATGCGATTCCATTCACAATACCCGCGACAAGACACATGAAGAACAGGATAACAAAGTTGTAGATCACGTTCCAGTTGAGATCCTTTGCCATACGAGGTCGTTTGGCAGGAGTCGCACCGGAATTGAGCATAATCTTGCTCTCTCCACCGGTGAAGAGTACAACACCCAAGACCCATTCGGTACTCTTCAAATTGCAGCCGCGGAGCAAGATGTTGTTGATAGAGATGGGCTCAACCATCTCCTTCCGGGGAGCTTCAGGGAAATTTGAATCGCGCTGGTCCCAACGCACGGCACCATTGTAAGAGTACAGATTGGCATGCGGGGCCTCACTTTCGATCACAAATTCAGCCTTTTCGCAGTCTCTGGCATGCCGAACTTGACGGCCACAATGGAGAGCTTGGCGAACCTTCAAGTTGGTCTCTCCATCCAGGCCTTTTGTTTCGACGTAACAGGCGCCATCCGGGTCAGAAGTGGACAGAATCACGATGTCGGCTGGAATTGGATCTTCATTGTACAACCGGACAAAGTCGCCAACTTGCAGACTTTTCCACTGCTCTCGCTTAAATCGGGCCTTGCCGGGTGTCTGCTTGGACATGTCCAAGACGGTTCCATGTTTCTTGTCCGGCGTAGGTTCCACCACGCTCTGTCGAGCTGCGCTGTTGGGAGACAGATACTTGTTTTCATTGTTGCTCACCATCGGCCAGTCTTCGCGAGCTTCGGGTTGAGGTGATGGAACATCAGTCATGGGGATGGCGACGTCTTCCGGGGCTATGGAGTTGCGCTGCGTATAAATCGAGGCCCGGGGATCTGCTGTACTCAGGAATGAGGCGCGTCTTTGATCTTGAACATCATCTCCGCCTTTCTCTTTCTTCTGAAATTGAGAAGAAAGCCACTTATACGAGGCAATAGAGCCCCTGGTACAAGCCTTCTTGATACGACGCCATAAATCGACGTTTTCTTCTGTAGAATTGACATTGTTCCATTCGACCAGTCTGTAAACTGGAGAATTGTTCACTTGATTGTCCGACACTGTCCGCCCCCAATCCTCAATGGCGTCTTTAATAGCGGTCACAACGATAATAACGATTAGAGGAACGGCGTTCAGGCCGGGGTTGTTGGCGCCGAAAATTGGAAAGAACTAGAATATCATCAGCCAATGCTAACGAATTGGAGCCAGGGAGACAATTATATCACTGCATACGTTAAGAATGATGACGAACAAGAAATAGATGTTCGCAATATTGTGAAACTGCAGCCAGATGTTGTAGGGAACAAAGGTGAGCGGTGTATACTTGGCAGTGCGAATTTTGTTTCTGGGATATGTAATGCGCAGATGACCGTCCTCGTCTCGTTCAGACTCCGGAATGGGAATACTGAAGTAGATTCTCCGATTTGGTCCTCCTTGCGGCGTCTCGGGTCCACTATTGGCTGAGGTGCTCGTATTGTTCGATTTTCGCTTTTCGTCTCTCACATCTGACCGTTTATGGAAGCGATCAATAATAGAAACACGTTTCTTGATGCCACCATGTCCGGGAGCTCGAGTGGTAGCCCATCTTTGTCGTTTCGTCGGCTTGGAGACGTTGCTGCTGACCTCCCCGATATCATCACCTTGCCCGTTGTTGTCCTCTCCATTGTCCCCAGGGAAGCGCACGGAAGCCATCTAGGCTATTGGTGCGCCCAAAAAGGGCATATAACTTGACAGAAACCTTGATTATCGGTAGCTGTTAAGCATCCGGTTTGGAGGGCCGGAATCCGACAGCGCTGGGCGCAGAGAAAGATCGCCGGTCCAGGTGCGTTCACAGGGATTGAGGGCGAGGGAAACGCAATGTCATAGGCGACGCAAGTCTCGAGTAAATCAGGGGGTCTAGTCGCGCACGTTGCGGATGTTCTCGTTGGCGAACTTCGAGGAATTGTCCAAAACTATTCAAAACAGGGTTTCCGCGGCGGATCGTGATGGAATATGATTGCAGTGCGAAAGCCGAGGGGTTATAGGGCGCACCCACAAGGGGCCATTCAAAATACTGAAGTGAAAAAAAGAAAGAAAGAGAAGAAGCACCAAAGTGGTTATTTTGTGCTTCGAGGGGTGAGAGAGAGATGGTGTAGCCACCTGACTCTATGGATCTCAGTACAGGAGAGTATGTAATCTTGTTACCACCCGCCCGTGGATGCTTACCGATGGGGCCGGGCCAAGATACCTCTGCTTTGTCATTCAAAGTGGACTTGGCAGGAGATTTTTACACGCGTCAACTGTCATATTGGTATAATTCCGGTATAATTTGGTATAATATGTTTTATTGTGTTTTACACTACCTGTTTCTCTTGTTCTGGGCACCTTTAGGCAGCTTAATTCGTGTTCTAAGGTTAGAATCAGCAAGCTAAATAATCACCTAGGGCTGATGGGCTTAGGTAGCGATGTATATTATCTCGGACTCAAGGGACAATACGTGTAAAGTCCGGTAATTATCATGTCCAGCCCCGTTCCAACCTCCCCTTCTAAATTTTTGACAGTGGCAATCGGGGTACTCGGCACTTGAACTCTGGGACGTTCGGAATATATTGATATACATAGTATCGATATCTTGATGGCTTGGAGATATTGGTAGGAAAATAGATTCCCGTGTATTTCGGTTTTCATTAGTGTAGTGGCACTGCCACCGTCAGCATTATGATCGCTTACCACCAGGCTTACCGGGGGATTGCCTACCGCACGGAGTAATTCTCCCCAGTTCTTCACTAAGAAAGTGCGCTCCGTACTCCGTACATATCCGTTTCGTCCGTATGCAGACCCTGGAGTAACGGTTATTGGCCCACAGCTGTTGTTTCTTTGCCCCCACTATGAACTATTAATTTAACAGCTGGCCTTTTCTCGTGTTGCAAGTCTTATATATGTGGTAGTTACCTAGCTAAACATTAATATTCTTATAAAAGACGAAGTTTCTGTCTTGGTAGCCATCACGTAATAAAGATATATGGTCATATTCGAAAAATCTGACAATATTGTGAGCACAATGGATAACGCGTCCCTAATGATATCAGAGACCCAGAATTCGGGGTCGGAGCATCAATCCTGAAACCACCGACACGGCACGAGCTTCCCGGTCCACCTGAGTCAGCTTTCTTAATTTTCGCTCTGATAGGTACCTTGGTAATAAGTTAGTTGGTTATGTTGTAGGTAGTATCTGCCAAATTTCCAAGGCGTACTCCGTATGGGTCAAAATGCCATTGGACCCGTTGTTTTATGTCGCGTGTATAAACCTTTTTATGTTACGACAGTATGCATCCAGGCTCCGTTTTTCTTGGCAGAAAAACAAC